AATTTAGTATAATTTTTGTATATCCCGAATTTGTACTGCCATATGGTACTATGTTATACCTTCCTATTATATCTAATAATTCTATATTTTGTTAACAATTACCTAAAAATTTTATAAAAGATATAAGGTAATAATATATATGTTGTATTAATATGATATAATTCCTACAAACTAAGTTGCTATTTCTATAGCGTTAATCAAGATTTTTCTTTTAAAGCAAGCTGGGCTCTAAAAGAGAGTATGAAGTTTGGTAATAAAGGTGCAAGAAAACATATTACAAAAAAAAGTATTACAATATTTGCAAGGATATTTCCTGGCAGGTAACTTAAAAGCTGCAGATTATTACTCTTCTAAAGATATGTATGCTGATCTTGAAAACTTGGCAAAAAATGGTGAGCTTTTATTTGAGGAAATTCCAATAATAAAAACTATTAAAGAATGGATCAGAAGATACATTGCAAATTTCAAAAAAGAAGTATCAGAATAAGTACTCACAGAAGTTAACAATGACGAACATACTTTAATATATAATAAGAGTAGTAATATGCATCAAAAAAAAATTTAGTTAGAATATAATAAAACATGACATAACTATTATGAAATTTTTCTTTCCTCTATATAAAATTTTTCAAGCCACAAAGTAATAATTGATTTAAAAATACAGGTAGTATAGTTGAGATTCGCGTTACATATTGCAAGTATAAAATTGGGTGATTTATTATAGCCAATAGCCTTTTTTTGTTATAAATATCTATACTTGTATTTTTATTATTATAAGATTTGCGCTATAGTAAATCTATCTATTATAGACAGATCTGCAATTAAATTTTTTTTGTATAAATATAAAACATAAAAATAACTTAATAAAAAGTTATTAAAATTATACTAAATTTTCAAATTATATACAATTTGTTCTCCTAAAAAACTTTACCTAAGATGATATTATCAATTAGCTTAATAAATTTTTGACTTCTATATGTAGCTACTATTATAAATAGTGAAATAATATTGTTTGATAATTTTTTATATAAAATATCTGACCAATAAAATACTTCATATGTAAATGACCTAAATGATCTAATGACCCAAATGATCTGGTCATTATTTGATGACTAGAGGTCATTTAAATTTTGATCAAATTATCAGATCATTTACTATCTCTGTTGCATAGTACTTATTAAACTTGTCAGTACCAGGCTATGTTACATGACTTACAGGTCTCTCAAGTTGGCATTCTTAACTCAGAATCTAGTTGTCATCAACATTATGGCATTAGGAAGGTTGACAAATCTATTGTTCCATCTCACAGTATTATGTATCACATCTCAAAGTCTTGAATATCGAATTTATAATTTATCTCATGGTTTTCATTTCGCATCTACAGTCACCACCAAATAAAAACAGGCAGTTTGGTCACCGGGACCAAACTGATCTAATTTTTTGATCAGCAGCTGGATGACCATATCGAAAGAGGCAGTTAGATTTGGCAAGTAGATGTTCTAAAGCTTAGGTCGCCTTTCCTACTACTAAAGAACAGATCAATTATTACTTTGGGAGAAGTAGGTAATCATGAATTAATCAATAGGCTTCGCGAAGATAACTCTACTATGCCACTTAGTAGAGTATCGGAGGGTAGAGTAATTAAAGAAAGTGTAGGTTAGGTAGTAGGATTTATTTAATAAAGAGCTCAGTTTATAAAAGCAAACTA